TTTGACCAGCCCCCGCCTCTGCCCGGGGTCTCGCCGAGTCTCAAGAAAAGCATTCTTGGCACTTTCTGCCTTTTTCCGAGACACTCAAGTGAGCCCAGGGAAAGGGAGTTGTAGGTCATCTAGGTTCCTCAGGAGGCTGAGCATGTGAGTGACACCCAGACACCCCATTCAGGCCCGCCTCCACGGCCAGGGGTTCACTTGGTGGCAAAGCTGCGACAGTCCGCAACAGCTGCCGCCCGCAGGGAGGGGCCCGCAGGGAGGGGCCGGGAAGAGGGTGGCAGATGTAGCAGCGCCCCTCCCCTGCCCACCTCCTCGCTCCCTCTCTCTCCTCGGGGCCCTCCACTCGGCCCCCTGCCGCTCTTTCCCGCCTGGGCAGGGCGGGTGCTGCTACAGCAATAGCACTGCCCTGGGTGGGCCCGGGCTCAGCCTCAGAGGCACTGGGTCCTCTGGGGGGTGGCGGGGGTCAGGCACGTCCTGATGCGGGTGGGAGCTGTTTCCTGCAAAGCCAGCAGCAGCCGCCTCCCCTTCGCCAAGCCCCTCCCTCCTCCTCCCCATCTCCCTGTCTCCCCGAGTTAGAAGCCCCGGCCTGCAGGATCTGAGCCGCCTGTGCCAGCCATCTCTCCCCCGAAGCACAGGGGTGGGCCTCTGCTCTGGACTTGTGGGGTCACTGGCACAGCCCCTGGGCCTCTGGCCAGGCCCCCGGGGGATGCACTGTTCTTGTCACACCCCCTGTTTGACCTCGACCCCCTGTTTGACCTCCTTGTCTCTGGCGTGGCCTCCGTGAGGGCGGATCTGCCCGGCTCATCCGAGGACACCGCGCCGCCTCTCCTCTCCGTCGGGGAAGGAGCTGCAGCTTTGGAATCCTCCTGACGCCCACGGGGCGGTTTCCTGGCCGGGCTGTGGGCCCCTAACCACGGCCTCCATCTCCGTGGGCGTCCGGTGCTCTTCCCCACAGGAAGCCGGTCTCTCTGGCTGGTTTTCTCCAGCTGGTTTTCTCCTGACCGCGCTGCCCTCCTTGCCCCCCCCTCCAGTCTGAGGGAAGCTCTGCTGGCTGGGGAAGAGCCTTCAGCCGCCATCTTTCACATCTTATACTTCTAGCCTCTAGCCTCCTCTTTTAAAGATCGAGGTCTTGGGAAACCCAAGCCCGGACACCCGTCTTTCCTGCCCACCCCATGTCTTTGTCGTTTTTTTCGAGAAGCCGAGGGTGTAGGACATCTCAGCCGCGAGGGGGAAGCCAGGGGAAATCAGGGCCAGGAGTGGGAGGGATTTCTCCAGAAGGAACCAGCCCAGGTGCCTCCCCCCAAGGACTGGAATGAGCGGGTGGCCCAGAAGCTCGTGTGCCTGAGCCTGCCTGGCTCCCAAGCCCTGGGTGGTTTACACCCGGTCTCCTGGAGGCCCTGCCCTCTAGTGCGCGCCCTTGCAGGGGTGCGGGGAAGAGACGGGATAAACATAGAAGGGGCGTGCCTCCCTGCCCCAGGAGCAACATGGATTCCCACCAGCCTCAAGCTCTGCGCCTTACAGACCGGTAATGAGCACTCTGAGGAGCGACAGGCGAGGAGGCCGCTTATTTTTAACTAGACAGCAGACAGCAGACAGCTGACGGAGCCCTGGAGGCAGCTCATCAGGGCACCCCGGGGTCCCAGGACAGCCTGCAGGAGCTGTCACAGAGTCTGACCCCAGTTCGGGCATCTCCCCAGTTTGGGCTGCCTCACACTTGGCTGGGGGGAGAGACTGTGATGGGCAGAGGGGGCATGCTGGGCTTTCTCAAGTGTGTGAGCGCGCATCCTGCAGGGACCACTTTGGGACTAATTGGGGGTTTGGCCCAGGAAGTGTCATTAGGACTTGTCGAGTCATATCAGGAGCCACAGAAGGTGTCAAGTCGCTGGAGAGCTCGCTGTGTAACCACTGGTTGCCCAGAGACCTGGACAGGCTGCCACTCCCCCGGCGCAGACACAGCCTCTAGAAGGAGGCCAGCTTAACGGCCATGCTGGCACATGACGCACCTTGCCTGTGGTGCTGGGACGCACCTTGCGGCTGTGGCTGGGCTGAGGTGTGGCAGGCTGACGGCCATCGCCAGGCAGATGCACCAGAATGCCAGAGCCCACTGGTGGGCGCTGAAGGGATTTTAGATAACCGGGGCCAACAGTGAATCCCTGAGCGGCCACCATCGGGCCTCCTTCAGGGGGACAGACAGATCCAGAGCCCCTGGGGCTTCCCATGAGCCCTGGAGGCTGACCTGAAGGCGGCCTTTAAAACCACAGCTGGGGGCCTCCCCGGCGGCACAGTGGTTGAGCGCTGGGTTGCGAAGCTGCCCGCAGCCTCTGCAGCGCCAGTTCGATCCTTGGCCACCGGTGAGGGTCCCACATGGTGCGACAGACCTCTCCTGCCGCCCGCTGCTCCCTCAGCAGTGTATTTCGTCAGTCTGCCTGCTCTGCTCCCTGCTCTGGCTCTCGTGAATTTTCTCACCCTCCCGCGCTTCTGACTGTACCCAGTGCTTGTATAAATAAATCTTTAAAAAAAAATAAATAAAATCACAGCTGGAATCCTGACAAGTGTGTTGCAGGGGGTGCCAGGGGCCTTGGGAAGTGTCCAAGCCTAGGGGAGCCGCTAGACTTGGACTTTTCAGGGAGTCTTGAGCTCTTTCTCCTCCCAGGTCTGTCCTTGGGCTGCTCCCAGACTCTGTGGCTCACTCACTTATTTTATTCTCTAAGAGCTGATCCCCTGCCTGGCTAATTGGAGCTGAGAGGGGATAGCAAGGGCTTGTCAGTGCCTGGAAAATCACCACGCTCTTGTGCTGGCTCCGGGCTGAGGAGCTGCCAGCCTCAGTTCCAAGGCCTCTCTGGGAGCTTTCCACGAAAGAGGGGCCCCTCCCCCGCCTCGCCATGAACACCTTCCTGGCTGCCTTTACTTCCCAGATGCCTCTTCCTGCCAAGCTCAGTGGGACCTGTTTTGTTGTATCTCCCGAAGGGGCAAATTTCAGACTTGGGTCTGACAGCAGGAGGGTGGCCTGCAATTTGAAATGCGGTCAGTAGCTGCTTCTGGTGCAGGCAGATAGGGAAACGGAATAATACGTCTTAGAGGGCTTTATTAGTGATCTGACGCGGAGGGCTGAGGGGCCTGACGGGTCTTGCGGGAGTGTTGGCACTTTGTCCCCTGGGTACATGAATTGCTCTTCCCAAGAAGCACATCAGCTTCCCGTTCGCAAGGGCCCACGGATGCCCAGCCCCACTCCCGCCAAGGGCCGGTGACTCCCTGCTGAGTAAATCCATGTGTCACGTGAGGCTGAGGGGCCATGGAGCGTGTTTGAGAGCAGCTGCAAGTATTCGCTCTAGAGCAACATGTCACAGACTCAAGGGTGCAATCTAATGAGAGCTTCGGGGTTTGCTTGAGGGTTTGCTGGTTCTTTGAAAGCCAACCATGCCGTCTCACACAGGCCCCAGGTGAAGCTTCCAGACCAGGTGTGCCTCTGTCAAGCTCCCTGCACGTGCCGCTGCCCAGGGTCCCCTGTCCCTGTCCTGTTTGTGCACTGGTGGGTGGTACTGGGAAGGCCCAGGCGGAGCTGCTCTCAGGACGTCTCAGCCACCATCTTGGCACCAGGGGCTGCACAATTGTGTATTTTATTTCCTGAAATCGGGAAGGTTTGGCAAAATTGGGCCTGTATTCCTCAAGGGGCCCACCACTGGAGTGCGCGTGGGTGGACACTTTGGGTGGGGGCACTGCTGTCCAGTCTTTCAGCCCCCCCATGCTGGGGCCAACTTCGGTCCTGTTTATCATCCCCTTAGATCTGCTCTTTTCTTAGAACAGTTAAGTAAACAGACTTTGTCCCTGAGAACAAGCTGGATGTACGGCATGTAGGTTCCCTCACATACACACACACTCATCGTGCACACGCGCGCTCTCACGCACACACAGCCCTTGTGGGTGTCTGCGGGTGTCTGGGGTTGTGACAGATCCCGCCCTGCCCCACAGGGTTCAGTGAGGGTTCAGTGGCTGCACCGTGCAGACCCCTCAGGGCAGGTCCTGGTACTCAGCGCAGCTGGCTAGCATCTGTGTGGCGGGGCTGGGCTCTTCTGGAATCCAAGGGCAGCGCCCTCCCACCCCAGCCCCCACAATGGGCGTTACTCAGGACTGGGGCGCCCTCTGGTGGTCGTGCTCTGCACCTACACCTGGGCCCTTCTGGAGCGATTTGAGGCTCCCTCTCACTGCGCCTTCTCCGTTGCACAGAAACACGCCCCAGTTCCCCCACCCCCCTCCCATATCCCTTGTCTCCTTCCTGACCTCAGTGCCCTGAGGTTGAGGTCTGGGCCTCGGGGAGGGGTCTAGGGCGGGGCGGGGGTGGGGGAGCCAGGACTGCCCCTGCCAGTGCATCCACAGACGCTCCCCAGGCTATTACGAGGTAATTTTATTTCTTTCCATTTTAGGTAAAAATAGTAAATACAAGATAATCTTAATAAAGGTAAAAATACATCATTTGGATTTTGTTCTCTAAACAGTGCTACCTACAGTACAATTTTTGATTTAAGATTTTTTAAACTTTTTTTTTTTATAAACAAATAGAACTATTTGCTATTAGGCTATCTGTGTTCTCATCTGGCACTTAAGAATAGATCACAGGTCACCTTCCGGTTCTGTTTGGATGTGTGGGTGGCAGGAGGGCGGATGGGGTGAGGCGGTTGGTCCTCCCGGGCCGCGCAGTGGGCAGCCTTCCCGGCGCTGCCACGGACACGTGTGGCTGTGGCCGGACGACAGGTGTCCCGTGTGCCGGGGGCGCTTCCTCCCGCCTCCTCTGCTCACGTCTCTTCCTCCTCAGCCTAGAGTCACAGCAACTCTGGGTCTAGGCAGGCCACCGGCCCGTGGGGGTCCGCAGCTGCCCAGGGCCGCGCCAGAGGGTCCCTGCAGTGTCCCAGAGAAGGGCCCCCATGTGGCCACCGGGGCTGCCGGCCGGGGCACCCACCCTGGCCTGGGGATGCTGGTAGAAGTCACAGATGCTGAGGTGGCCGCTAGATGTCTTTGCCTTTGTTCACCCGCAGGTGGTCTCTGTTCAAGTTCTTTCCAAATTTCTCGCTGAGCTGTTGGATCAGGTCTGCAAGCTCCCCGGTCGCTTGCGATTTCTCTTCAAGAAGCTCGTAGCGCAGGCTGGAGATATCTTGCTTGATCTCCTTCAGTTCACCTGTGAGGACAGATGAGGTGGTGGTTACGAGGAGGTGGAGCAGCTCACCCAGCTGCAGTTGGGTAAGTGCCTCTTCCTGGCCTGGCCCCGGGGCAGAGCTCTGAGTCGACCTAGGCATCCTTACCTGCCCCCACTCCCGGCCACTGAAGGACACGTTCAGCCACTGAAACCCCTTCTCCTCCCACCCCCGGACAGCCCCTGCCTCTCATTCCCGGACAGCCTCTTCCCGGTCCCGGACAACCTCTCTGGTAGTGGTTTGAGGTGGCGAGAGGAAGCAAGGTCAGGGCGGTGTTGTGTCTGGCCCTATTGCATACCACGAGTGTTACATGCTGGTCGTGGAGCTGTGAAAGGCAGACTTCCAGAGGCAGCAGCACCCCCACTGACTGGGACAGTGACTCTTGATGCCCACGCTTTGTCTTTTTTGTGCTGTTGGTTGAGGGGAGAACATCCAAGCTTGTGAAGGGAACAGCTCAGCACATGGCTGTGGCCTCGGACCAGGAGAACGGTCGACCCAGACCACAGGCAACGCACTGCCCCAGGGTCTCCCCCTCCTCCTGGGTAGCAAGGGACCCCCAACTGAGACTTGCATGGTTTATGCCCTCAGAGACCCGCATGGTTAGAAATCCACATGGGCTATGGGAACCTTTCTAACCATGAAGGGGAGCCAAAAGTTTCTTTCCTGATAGTTGGGGTATCAGACTCGATTCAAGAGGGACCCCACAACCTGGGGACACACACATATCCATTGTCACACACAGAAAATGTGTGACAATGTCACACGCAGATCTTAAAAGTACAGTTTGGTCAGTTTTGTCAAATGCATACACTCCTTATTTTCTTTTCATGGGGTGCAACACGTGACCCCAGTTTCACAGTGTAATGCTAGTGGCATGAAATCTAGGTCACCCCACTGTTGTTCATCGGGCACACTCTGGGTTGCCTGTGGTTTTCTGTGGGAGACCCAGAAGGAGGGTGGGTGGGTGCTCAGCCCCTAGACAGCATCAGCCCTGGGCCAGTCGGTCATGGTCAAGCTCCAGGCTGACGCCCCAAGATGAAGCGGCGTCACTGTGACACCTGGCTCTCTGGGCTGCCCCTGTGGCCCAAGGGAGGGGAGACTTGGTACCTTCATTTATGGGAGAGGGTGATTCTAGGTAGCAAGTACTTGTCCTAGATGTTTCAAAAAGATTAATTACCTGGTATAAGGTAATTTACTATTCACTTAAAAGTAATGGCTTAAAATAGACTGAGAACAACCTGCACTGTGGAAATCATGTCGTTGGCCACCTATGGTGTGCAGGGGATGACCTGTGCTCTTATCAAAATGCCCACTCCGGGCCCCTCCCCAGCGACGCTGAGATGCTAAATCTTTAGGCCTGGGTGAGGTGTGGGACCTGCATTTTAAACAAGAGATGTGGAGGGCATGTGCTTGGAGAAACCCCGCTGGGTGCCAGATTCTGAGAGCCTGGAACTGAGACGGATGGGGCCAGCAGGAACGGAGAGGTACCCTCTCTCTCTGTGCTTGGGAGTGAGGAATTCCGGACCCTCCTGCACTCAAGAAACGTGAAGCCAACCCAGGCCGCCCTCACAGTGGTGGACAGACGACTGAGTGCCACCCCCAGGACGTCCGGGTCGTCATGTCTGGAGACTGTGACTACGCTAATGTTACTTGGCCGTAGGGAATCACCTTCACAGAGGGAATTAAGGTTGCTAATCAGTGGCCCTTAAGTAGGAAGATTATTCTGGACTGTCCAATCTACTCAGGATTCCTTCAGAGTTTAAGAGGAATGCAGAAGAGTGGATCAGTGTGATGACAGCAGGGAGATGGCAGGGTGAGAGGGCCTTGCTGACCTGTGGCTGAGATGCAGGGGCTTCATGCAGGCCCCAGGGCAGCCTGGAGGGCAGAGCTAAGGCAGCCCCAGCTGACAGCCGGCAGGGGGCAGACAACCACACGGGGAGGTGTTCTGCCAGCGCACCCAGGGAGCCAGCAAACCGAGACTGCAGGGCTGCCAACAGAACTAGCCCTGCTGGCAACACCTTGATTCAGCCTGGTGGGACCATGTGCAACTTCCGACTACGGATCGGGAGATAATTGCCGTTGTCCAGCATCAGGGCATCAGGAAACCAATCCAATCTCTTACCTTCGTTGACTTCGTCATTCTCTCTGTCCACCTGGGCCTTCAGGACGTATCTCTTTATGAGCCGCTTCATGATTTTCTGAAATGTGAACATAAGGAAGGGCTGAGCACAGAGGCCCCTGGCACGGAGCACGCAGGCCTCCACTCTGCTGCAGAGCACCTGACCGGGCCTCCCTCTAGAGGTTGTGCTGCCTGCTGGGAACCTGGGCCAGTCTGTTTCAGTTGTCTCCTCATGATTCAATGGCCCCTGACCGCAGGAGGGGAGAACTGGACACGCTGAATGCCAAGGAGAGAGAGAATCGTGTCAGACCCGCCAGCGCTGCTCCAGGGTCCTGGGCCAGACTTGACCCTGACCTTCACAGTGACCCTCGTCTGCTCTGAGTGACCCTCGTCTGCTCTGTTCTCATCTTGGGGTTTCAGCTCTTGAGATGCTTTTCTCTATTCCAACAATTGATGTGATCAGGAGGGAAATCTGAGGTCCTAGCAGGCCAGCCCGGGGGGGAGTGGTTTCCCTCTAAGGTGCAGTGTGTGAGAGGAGCTTCTCTTAGTGTAGGCTTAGAGGATGCTGTACCTTGGAAAATTCCTACCAGACACAGATGCAGCTGGGTCTTGGAAGCTTTTGCCAAGATACCACTGAACCACTTAGAAATCCCCCGCACCCGACACTGCCCGCCAGTCCTGCTGGAGGGGGAGGGTTTGGCCTGCAGGTTGCATCTATCACGCAGAGACTGGGCTCTCTGAGCATGAGTAAACACTTGGAGACACCCAGAATAGAGAGTGTAAGAAAGACTGCAGGAGGTGAACTTTGGATTTTGCCAGCTAGTTGTTCCAGGGTTCCTGCGAAATCACAAGATTTAAATATATTTTGCTCGCTGCGACTTCTGGATCTTGCCAGAACCAAACAGCTGGGCCAAGAGGAAGGGATCCCTGCTCTTTGGTCATCCCTGCCTGTGACCCGGCCCACGGCCAGGACCAGGGCGAGGCAGCATTTTCCTGATAGGAGGGACCTGTATTCTGCCCCTAGATTTGCCTTGTGATGTTGAACTTGTTGCTCAGTCTCTGAGTCCATGGACTCAGAAATGCTTCTGGCAAGGGAAAGAGGAGCTGCCTTCCTGCCCTGAGGTTCCAGGACTACAATGGAAGGAGCAAAGTGCTGGAGCTCAGAGCAACCCCTGCAGGCCAATGCTGTCTTCCTCGGCCCTCAGGCTGGAGGTCCTCTTGCCTCTGTCATTCAAGCTGTGACCTGATTTCAGGCTGAATAGCTAATTAGCAAGTTGCCTTCAGGTAGCAGCCTTTTCTCAGAGAGACCTGGTCTTCTCCGAGTAGTGGTTAGACTGCGGTGCTAGATTTCTTGCAGACAATCTCCTAGTCCGTATAGCAGGATGCCTCAGTTAAAAAAATAGAGGTCTTCTTTGATTTCCAGGGGGGTTGCACCCCGGTAAGCCCATCATAAATGGAAAATGCACTTAATGCACCCAGCCCACTGACCGTCATAGCGTCCCCTGGTCTACTTGGAACGAGCTCAGAGGCTCACATCAGCCTGCATGTGGGTAAAATCATCCAAAACAAGCTACTTTACAATCAAGTGTTGATTTCTCTTGTAATCGATCGACTCCTGTGCTGGAGCTGAACACACCTCGTGAAATTATCCTGGCAAAGAACTTAGGGTAGCAATGATCGTGACATTAGATCTGCATCCAGAGAAGAAGGCGCGTGGCTCCCCCGCCCACACTTTGAGGGTCACGCGCCTCTGCTGTTGCCAGGTGGGGAGAGGGCCTCGGGAGAGACAGCCTCTTCCAGCAGCCTGCGCAGCACAAGACATAGCCCAGGAAGGAAACACACGCCGGATGTTGAAGATGCCAAACCAAGTAGGATCTGGGGAGGAAGCAACGTTGCTACTTGGGACACAGTGGACGGGAGGCTTCCCGAGACTTTTGTTGGTTCCACTGGGCTTATCAAACATTAGAAAAGGAGAAATCAGGGCTGGCAAGTTGTGCTGTTTGCTGTGATCTCTACAGGAAAGGCCTTCTAGAAGGCATGAGGAGATTCTCCCCTGGGCTTGGGGTGGGAGATTGCATCTAAAGACTATGTGAAGTAGTGCTTCCATATGATCCAGCAATTCCACTCCTAGGTATTTACCCAAAGGACACAGAAACATCCATTCCAAAGAACACCTGCACCCCTATGTTTATAGCAGCACTGTTTACAATAGCTAAGCTTTGGAAACAGCCCAAATGCCCAAAAATAGATGACTGGATCAAGAAGATGTGGTACATATACACCATGGAATATTACTCAGCATTCAAAAAAGATAAACACATGCAATTTGCAGCAACATGGATGGCGCTGGAAGGGATCATGCTCAGCGAAATAAGCCAAAAAGAAAAAGAAAAATACCGGATGGTCTCACTCCTAGCAGGAATCTAGAAAACTTAAATAAGGGACCAGGAAAATGAATAACTATAAGAAAGTGAAAATCAAAATCAACAAAAAACTATGAACCAGAGACACTTTTAGGGGGGCGGGGGCGGGAGGGGAGGGATTGGGGTCAGAATGGGGGGGCTGCAATTGTATGGGGAATATAACAATAAAAAAAAAAAAAGAATGAATCAGTCTAAAAAAAAAAAATGCTCGAAAAAAAAAAAATAAAGACTATGTGAAGGATGGATGGTGCCAGGATTCTGTGGTTCAATTGAGAGCCCTCTGCTCATGAAGGGCTAAAACTCTTGGAGCCTGAGTCTGTGGGGTCTCCACGAACCCCAGCAAGCTGACGGGTTTAGTACAGACACGGGGCAGCACTGCGGGGAGCCCGCTCTGGCCCTCTCTGCATTCCCAGGGGTCTATTCCACTGATGGGTGTCATGTCCACAGAAGCCACTTGGAAAAATAAAACATCACGAAAGCAGTATTCTGTGAAAAACACCAATTTTGACCCCTGGAAGCCAAAGTAAAGTGAAGCACAGAAAACCTCTGGTCTGAAGGAACTTCCTATCCCTCGTAATAGGGGGACCCCAAAGTTGAAGAATCAACGCACATAACATGAACACCTAACACGTGAAGTCTAGGCAATCGAGAGGGTCTGTTGAAGAGACGCCAGGCGACAGGCTCCGAGACTACCTGGGTGTCGAGTCTGTCACGCTGGCAACGTGACAGGGCTACTCAGGGCGGGTGCCGGGCACCGGGCACAGCCGGGAGAACAGGAAGAGGAAGGGCGCTCGCGTCTCTGACCGTTTGGAAGTTGCTTTGAGAGGAAAGCAAGATGGGAGGCCACCAGCGGGCCCAAGAAGGCCGCAGGGGAGCCACTGTCAGAGCCTTCCTGCTGCTTGCTGCCTGCGGCCTGGTGACGGCACCAGCGCCTTTTCCCTCCGCTGTGTTAAAAAGAAAAAAAACAGCCCCCACGTGGAGTCCCTCATGCCAGGCCCCCACCCTGACTTATCTTTCCTTCTGCTGATAACCTTGCCCACCTCTTTCTGTCTAGAAGTCCCCCCAGGTGGGCAAGCCTGGCGGTATTAGGCGGGATGCTGCCCGGTTCAGGAGTCACTTAATAAAGCCAAGTAGGTCGTTAAGTCTCTGGATTTTTAAAACAGGCCTATAGGGCTCGAATGGCTGCCAGGGACCGTGGGCACACGCAGGGCAGGCTCCGGGGAGGCCCTGCAGCGCCAGGAAGACGCGCCGGGCCTTTCCCAGGCACATAGGTCTCTGTGTGACCCGCAGTGCTGGCCTCAGTTCTCTCACTCGTTAAAGGGGGTGAAGGACGCCACCTGTCACAGCAATTTGGTAAAAACAAACAAACAAACAAACAAACAAACAAACAAAAAAACACCTGGATGAACTCCCGGCTGGCCTTTCCTGTCATTTTAAGGTTTAGCCCTGTGGCACGCAGAGCCCCTCGCTGGGCTGAGCAGGTGCAGCGGAGCCCTGGGCAGACAGCAGCGGCTCTCCGCTCCGGTGTGCTGTCCCTGGGATCCTGTCCCTCTGATGCCGACTGGCCCCATCTGCCTTTTTGCTTTCCTGTGACAACTATTGGGATAAGCAGCCCCAGGCTGCTCTTGGCGCATTCACAGCACACAAGGTGAGCTGCTCCCAAGGTCACCACGCGCCTGCAGCAGCGAACCAAATGCTGTCTAATCAAAGGGGGAAGCTGGGGCGAGTGAAGGCAGGGGCTCAGGGGCTCAGCCAGAGAGGGCAGGAGACAGAAATGTGATCGTGCGGAGAATGCTTTTGAAAAGTGTCTCCTAAAAGATTCATTCTGGGCACAGGGCACTCAGCACACAATCAGCCTTCCTCTTCTCGCCACTGATTCTGCTCAAAGCCTGGGAGAGACGTGGCCTTACCCATGACACAGATACTCTGTCCCTCTCTCAGAGAAGCTGAGAAATCAAAATCCTTCCCTTGACCAAAGGATTTGTTCTGCAAAATGACTCAAAGCAGATCAAATGGGCAGCCCCAATTTTGTGCCTGATTAAATACAAGATTTGCCCAATGCCAATTCTGAACCTGTGTCATCTGATAAAACTCGTATTTTGAGCGGTGAGCTATTTCTTAATTGCACACTTAAATCCGCCTAGATGCACTGCTGGCTTCTGAAGAATGGATGGAGATTCATTAGGGACCTGTGTCTGGAAGATGCTAAGTCTGTCATTGCTCCCTCTGGGAGGGCGGCAGGAGGCACAGATCACCTTGCCCAGAAGGGACCTCAAGACTGCGTCAAATTTACATCTGATGAGAAGTGGTTGGCACGGATAAGACTGGTCATCCAGGAGTGGGCAGGAGGAGAGTGGCCTGAACTGTTTCTTTTTTGTTTTGTTTTGAGATTTATTTATTTATACATGCAAGAGCTGGAGTACAGGCCAGAGGTGCAGGAGGGTGAGAGGATTCACCAGAGACAGAATGGGGAGCAGAACAAGCAGACTAACGAAATACACTGCTGAGGGGAGCAGCGGGCGAGACAGGAGAGGTCTGCCGCACCATGTGGGTTTCTCTCTGTCCGGCTGGGGACTCGAACTCGTGCTGCAGTGACTGGTGAGAACTTGATAGCACTGTCTTTAATCCCTGCACCCCTAGTGAGGCCCTGGCCTGACCTGTTATAATCAATATCCTGTGGTTACCACTGACCACGGCTTCATGGGCTCATTCCAACTGATACGAAAGGTTTGGCATTAATTTTCAACAGCAAGGCAGGGACTACAACCTTAGAAGCTCTCCTAGTTTTTATAATAAACTTTGTGGCTGGCAGTCGAGGGCCAAGGCTCTCGCTGAAGACACCAGTATCCACTGATTTCTTAGGATCCGCAACGGCAGGCACCTGCCTCCCCCCCATACCCGTGGGTCTACCTCGGTCGCTGGCTTTTTGCTTATACCATAGAGCAAATGCGTCTGCGTCCTCCCTCATCCCACCTTACCCCACCCCGGCGCCAGCCCTTACACTCCTGGGTGACACTGGTCTCTCTGCACCCACTTGCGACCCCAGCACTTGCCTGTCATTGTACTTACGGAGGCTTCTTAAGTCATGCATAAAATTTTAAGATCTTCTCCCTCCCCAAAGGTAAACTCTTCCCACTGCCCTCTGAGATAATGTAGAACATAGTCCACCTCCTGATCGCGGTCTGCACCCGCCGTTCTCTTCTGACCTCATCACTCTCCCCTCCCGCTGCTGACAGGGGCTTGGGGAGCTCAGACCTGTCAAGTTTCTCCACTTCAGTTTTTGCTGGTACTTTTTCTCCGCCCGGAAGACCCTACCTGGCTGCCTCCTCCTCCTCCGAGAGGCCTGAGCTAGCTGTCCTCTCCTGGGAGACGCCTCCTCCGAGGGCTAGTTCTCAGCTGAGCCTCCCTGTTTTTCTCCACTTTTGCACTCTTTCTTCTTGGCACCTTGATCAATTGGAAGTTACAGATTCACGTGTGTGTATATTCGCTCACTGTCTCTGTCCCTGTTGCAGGCACTCAATAAATATGTATGGAAGGAAGGAGCGATGGAGGGAGGCCGTGTTCCTGGGGGATGCGGCAGCCTTAATGGGACTTAATCTGTGTCCGAATGGCGCCGATGCTGCCCCTGCTGGGACAGGATGCTTACCTGGTACCTGGTGTGCTTAGTGAAAGTGTTATTTGCTGTCAGGTTTTCAGAATTCCTCATGCCAGCCTGGTAGCGAGTCTTCTGGAAAAAAAAATGCATACATGCATAATACATGGTACATTATACCGTCATGTGAGCTCGGTATACATGTGTAAACATGTCACGCATGCAGCACCCACACATGAGCTGTCCCTAAAGAGAGGGCCCTCGCACGTGCTTGCTGGTGCTCAGGTACCTAAAATGCTGTTCCCAGGGACCTTCCGGAGGACGCGGAGGCTTACGCAGTATTGTGTGTTCAGCCTTGTTTGGGAAGCATTGAGTTGAAGTAACACTGCATTTTCTCCCCCAGGGCGCCTCGGAAGTTTAGTTTTGCTTATTTGTGTGTTTAAATATTTTTGTTAGAAATTTTATAGTCAATATTTAATGTATTTTTCATTAACGTATGGTATTCATTTTTATCCTGCTATGTGCATTTTCTTCTTAATATGATGACATTTTTGTGTGAATGAACATGGAGAAGCTCCAGGAGGGCAGCTAATAGGCAGGGCAGCTTTCTTCCCAGCATCGTTCTGCAGACGCTCGCTGGGAGGAGCTATTCCACGTGAGACTGGTAGGGAGCACTCCTTACTGGGGGCAGCTGAGCCTCAGCTGAAAGGCACAGACGCAGCGACTCCTGGCCTCTGTGGGGTCAGGGGCGCACTTCTGAGTCAAGCACGCGAGGTTCCCTCCTCCCCCTCCTGCTGCCTTCTCCAGTCCCCGGGCCCCGTGCAGGGCACCTACCCTGAACTTGGAATTCAGCATGCCCATTTCAAGGTCATTTTCACAGCTTTTGGCCTTAGATTTGCAGAGTTTTATGAGGCACATCTTGATTCTCATTATGAGATAATAAAATGATTTAGGACTTGGCACTAGATTAAAAGGGGCAGGTAGAGTTCTTCCTTCATCGAAATAAGACAGCCAGAGCTTGGCGCGGGCAAACTTCCACTCCACGTCGGCGTCTTCCTGTGGGACAAGGGAAACAACCACACGCCATCAGAGCCACGATGTCGCAGGCGAGCCGGGTCTGGGGCGGGGGGACTGCAGTCTACACAGCCTGAGCCTCCTCGCTACCGAGGCTGCAGCAGCACCAGACGGGGGGTTTGCTCCCACGAAAGCCACACGCCGTCAGCCCCTGTCCAGCTCTCCATCTTAGCGCCCGTCGCTGAAAACCTCACTATCATCGGCCTCCCTCAGGTATTTTCACTAACATTCTTTACTCGCCACCTACCAAAGGACTTCTCTCTCTGCCACTTCATCATGCTGCCCCTGACATTTCCAGCTCTGCCACCTGACGTGCCGGGCCCCGCGGCGCCAGGGCCTCAGCTTCCAGAGCAGTGCCGCCCCAGAGAAACAGCGCAGCCTCCCGGGCGCGCCACCCGGCCAGCCGAGGTTTTCTCGGAGCCGCTTTGTAAGAGTAGGACGGAATGGCTGTCCATTCTAATGCCGTGTTTCCGTGACTCCACCCGTCCAAAATGTTCCCATTATAGAAATGACCAGGGAGAGAGCTGATGGATCGTTTCCCACGGGGTCTTTGGGATCCAGTTTGCCTTTTGTGCTTGGAGCACAGCTCAGTTGGGACGAGGCCTTTTCGTGTATTTAGCAGGCACGTGGCGCCTATGGGTGGCTACTAGGTTGGCCAACACAGTATTTCTCACTAGAGAGTCTATTTCTTATTGGTCAGTGCTGCCAGGGAGGATGTTAAGAGACTCTGCATAACTCCCTGGCTGCAGTTAGCAGGATGCGGACCGGCCATTCTTTCTTCCCTAGGGGGGTAGGTTGAAACCCCAGATCTGTTACTTCTGACTTGAGGTCAACACCAGAAAGCTGAATTGCCCCCACCCCCGAGAGACTCAGTTGTTTGTGTTTTTTTTTTTTTTTTTTTTTTTTAACTAGGCAGACTCTTCGGCCTCTGTCCTAGGGGGGTGGTTTGAAACCAGGAAAGAGGCATAGAATTTGGAATCAGACAGAACTGGGCGCACATCCCTTACTAGTTGTGCAGGAGTGGGAGAGCTCACTGCCCCCGGCTATGGGCCTGAAGCTGACTCTGAGCATGTGCTCCTGGAGCCGGGTTGGGGCGGGGGCTGAAGGGGGTGGGGGGACAGGCAATTACTGCACGCCGAAGGAGCGCTGAACCCAGCCAGGGCCCACACGGGGCTGCCGGGACTTGTCACGAGCAGATAGTCCTCACCAGCAGCCTGACCATTTTGTTTGCTTTTGCTGAGACCCCATCAGCTCCTGACTTGGCCTGTGGGGACATCTTGTTGGGTTGCAGACTGGAAGCTTTGTGACGACAGGGCTCGCTCCTGATCACCGCTGTACACTAGAGAGGTGTGACGGGGACCCCTGAGAGCAGGGTAGCTCACCTGGAGTCTGCCTGGGCTCAAGTCCTGCCCCTGTTCTTATTAACTGTGTAACCATGGCAGGTGACTTGGCTGCTCTGGGCCTTAGTTTCCTCACCTGTGAAGTGAAGATCATTCCTACCTCACAGGCTAGGAGAATGAAAGGAGTAAATGCATGAAGCGTTGGGCACTTAGCAAACACCCCACACTTATTACCTCCAGTTTGACACACTTATTACCTCCATAGCTTGACAGTGCCTAGTATTCAATGTTTAGTCATTCAGCAGACACTTACAGAGCTCCTACTGTGTGCCTGGCTGTGCTGACAAGCTGTGCAGACAAGCCACACATTCATTCCCACTATTTAGAATACTATTTTTGGGGGGCTGGGAGAGGGGTGTTATGGGCCAAGTGTCTCCTAAAGCCAATGATACGAGTGTGCTAGTCAATCATCAGGGACCAGCTGTGCTAAGAGCTGTGGCACTGGGTGCTAGGCCTTGCCGCGGTCAGGGCTCAGGGTTCACTGCCCCTGTGGCGGGCGTCTGAGCTCAGATCCCAAAAAGTTCACAATCAGGTCACAGGTAGGGCGGTGGTGCAAAAGGGGTAGGCGTTAAATAGTGGGAGACACAGAGAGAAGTGTAAATAATTCTTTTGAGAGAGCTGGCAGGAGAGAAAGAGGTTGAGAACTAGAAAGTGAGATCAAGGGAGGATTTTTTGTAGTTCTTTTTTTTTTTTTTTTTTTTTAAGATCAAGAGACTTATTTAAATGTGACAGGGAGGATTAGCGCAAGGAGGGTGAAGATTTGACAGAGGGGGTGATAGGGTGATAGCAGTGCTGCTCCTGAGGCGGTGGGAGGGGCAGGTGGGAGAGGCACCTCCTGCATTGGGTGGGGATGATGGTGGAGGGTGGGGTGGCGAGCGAAGGGGCTGTGGGGCCTTGGATTTGGACTAGATGAGGGCCCAGCACCCTCCCCTGCAGTTGAAAATTCACTTATAATTTTTGATGCCCCCCCAAACTGCGTTCACCGGAAGCCCACCAGTAACAAAAACAGGAGATAAACACTTATTTTTGTGTTAAGGGTGTGATGTACTGTATTGTTTCAATAAAGTAAGCAGAGAAAAGGCAACGTTATCAAGAATATCATAAGGAAAATATGTGTAGAGGATGGGCTGGACTGTATTTATCTACACCACATACTAAGGTCATCTGTTTACAAGCAAATCCACTTATAAGTGGATTGAAGCTCAAACCCCCATTGTTGCAGGCTCAGCGCTACTCTGTCATGTTTCAGTGTGGCGATGAATGCCGGCACTTTCCAGAAGGAGGTGCCCAGGCTGCAGGGTGGACATGGGGTGGGCTGCGATGTGTGCTCCCCACCTGCTGGACCTGCGCCTTGGTGGGAGGCTGGATGTCACAGGCTTGCCCCCAAACCAGTGGACCTCTCTCATGCTACTCCACAGCTTCCCACGCCAGTTCACTTGTGAGCACTGGGCCACCATCTGGGGGGAGTGGACAGAGACCTACAGGTTGTCCAGGCACCGTCTGGTTTCTTTTAGACGTGGGGAAAGTGAGCCCCAGAAGGGCAGGGAAGACTGGTCCGCAGTAGCCCATTCACACAGACCAAATATGCAAGACACTTTTTAAAAATATGTCCATAAACACAGTCCTGCATTTCTGGAGGTGGAGGGGGTGGCGGGCAGGGGCCATGGCCGGTGAGCTCTTTTTCTAGCACAGTCTATGTTCTTGTGGCGCCAAAGATACCACACTATTTCACCTCATCCTGCCTTGGCACACACGTGGTTCCCACTATTTAAAATACTACCTTTGGGGGGTGGGGGATAGGGGTGTTTGGACCAAGTGTACCCTAAAATTCCTATGTCGAAGCTCTAACCCCTCGGTTCCTTAGAATGTGACAGTGTTGGGAAATAGGGTGTTAAGAGAGCTAAAGACTAAATGAGTTCAGACGGTGGGGCCCTAATCCAGTAGGGGTGGTGGTGGGAGAGGGGCGTTCCCAGGGGCTGGACGCAGGCAGGGAAGGCCAGGTGAGGACACAGCCGAGGAGAAGGTAGTGGGGAGGAGACAAGACAGCAGGCCCTTAGTGGAGTCGATTCTGCTAAACCCACATCACGAAACCCAGGCTTAGTTACAGGTTTGGCTTTCTCAGAAGCAGAGTCTGAGTAGTTAGGGAATCTGCCTGGAGACCCCTGCCACCTCCTGAAGCACAGTAACCGCGCCATAACCAACCCCATTTTTTTTTTTTTTTTCGGGCAGGTGTAACTTCCTTGTTACCGCTCTCTTTGGCCTACAAAAGTCTGATTTGTACAGCTCCTTGGAGATCCTTTTTATCAGCTTAATTGTATGCTGCCCAATTCAAATTGATTTTTATTCAAATCAGCTTAACATTTTTAATAACCTCGGCTTAGCTTTTAATAGTGGCCATCTGCGAGCCAGGGAGAGAGGTCTCAGGAGATACTAGTCCTGGCCACACCTTGATCTTGAACTTCCAGCCTCCAGCAAGGTGAGCAGATACATTTCTATTGTTCAAGTCCCCAGCTCCATGGTATTTGTTATGGCAAATAGCAGACTGGTATTCAGATGCCTTTTTTTTTTTTTTCCCTGTATGAGGAATATACAAATAATTGTTTCTTATGAAAGATTTAAGTGCAGCGCTCTACCAAGGGAATGTAATAATAACCCCCTTTCAGATCTCTCTGCTTTTACACCCTCCCCTGAGGCTACTGGAAGTTGAGGGTGAGGTACCTTTGCTCTAATTTTTTCCCGTTTCATGTAAACATTTGTGTTATGCAAATGAGACTTGCCTATGTGTGCATTTGTACAACTTGCATTTTTTTTCATTTACTGCTAACATGGGAATGTTCATATGCCAGCATAAAAAAAGTCTTTCTCATTTTAATATGGTATGCTAAGTCTATACTCGATCACATTTTATTTAAACATTCCCACATGGATGGAGCATTTCCAAGTTTTTCCTTTCATGCTTATTTATGTAAAATTGTATGTTCTTCATGGATCTAGTCGCAGAAAAGGAATTATTGACTGAAAAGGTCAATGCATCTTATTTTGTTTTGGTTTGAGTTTATTTATCTTTATAATAGGGAAAACGATGAGAAAGCTTAAAAAACATAAAGAGGTATAAAGGGGCATTCACCATGCCCTCTTCCTGGGGTTCCCGCATCTCAACAGGCACCCCTGCTGTGTGTTTCTTCTGTAATTTTTTTTCATTTTCAAATGCTTATACAACCCAAAATGAATGTGTCTTCCCTTTTCTTCCTCTACACAAAAGAGCGAGTACTATCTGCAGGGCCTGTAACTTGACTTCCCCACCTGCGCTGTGCGTGGGCGCTGTCTGCACCTCCATGCCCAGTGAGCCTCTCATCCTGCTGTACAGCTGCTCAGTGTCCCCCCGCTCAGGCGTGTCGTAATCTATTTAACCAGAGTCCTATTAATGCTCGTTTAGTTTGTTTTTAATCTCTCGCTGTTCCAAATGAGACTGCAATCAATAGCTTATGGCTTGTGCATTTTGGATTTTGATAAATTGCCTCCTGAAATATTCTCTCAACTCCCCTATCTGTCCAGCAAAGTGACATTAATCTTTGAATGGCCTTCAAGTGTCCCCTCTGGGCACCCACGGTCCTGCCCCTGCTGGCCTTCTCCGGGTGCGCTGGCCCCTGGGCACCATGATGTGATTCATGGATTGGGTTTTTTCACTGGACTGAATTTTTGAGGGCAGGGACTGTGTCTTGGGCATCCCTGCATCGCCAGTGCCTAGCACAGGCTTGCCACATGGTAGGTACCGAACAAGTGAGAAGCAGAAGGGAATGTAGGTTGGAAGATATGCTCTGGTTTGCCCTGGGCCCTCTGCAGGCTGCGCTGGAGTCATGTGTCCCAGGGGAAAGTTTCCTGACCCCGAGCTCTCTGCCCTCGACGCGTCACTTTGTGTGTGGTGCCTGCTGTGTCATGGGGCAGGCTGAGTGGAGGTGCTTCTGAATCAGTCCCGGAAGATACCTTCACATCTAATGACAGGTGGCTTGGAACATTATCACCCTTGTTGGTGAAAACAGCAAAGTCCATTAAGCCAAGGGGGCAGCATTGTGAGGGGCGGGCCTTACCTCGATTTCCTGGTAGGAGTTGTTGATCATGGCTATGAGCATGTTGAGCAGCACGACCACCATGGTGACATTGTAGACGCCGTAGAGGACGTAGCCGATGTTCTCGATGAACTTGTGGTCGTACTTCAGCACCACCGAGATCACTTCAGACAAGCCAAAGATGGACCAGAATAACGTTTTGAAACTCTCTTCGACCCTACAAGGAAACAGACCAGCCCTTTAAGGGAATTGCATCACACGAGGCCCCAGTGTCTCCGATCCCCCTGCGGCATGGTGGGGTGTTTGGTGGCACCTGTGTTCCAGAATAATGAGATATTCTCATTTCTAGAAAGACTTTGAAACAACATAATATCTGAATGAAAGTAGTACGGAGCAAGCACCTTCTTTCCCATTCTGTCCATCTGCTGGGACTCCTGGTGGCAACATCCTTTTTACCTTGCTGTAATGAAACATGAAAACGGAACACCAGGGCACATGTTTGTTTTCGTATGTGGTTAGCTCAGAAGGCACACTCGTCCTGCAGTGCAGGCTCTCAAGTGTCTCCCCTCAACTGCCCAGCCCCACGTGAAGCAGGGGAGGCTGGGTCCCCGGGCGGTGCTGGCTTGGTGGTGCCTGGCACTTGCACTTAAGCCTCAAGGCCCCTCTGTCTTAGTGCCTCTGTTTTACACATGGAAACTCTGGCACTTGGAGGCTTGTGTGCTTTTGTCCAGGGGCACCAAGCAAGAAAGTGGGGTGCAAACCCAGGTATGACAGAAGTTTTCAAACTCATGTACTTATTTTTTTTATTTTTTAATTTAAATTTTATTTTTATATTCCCCATACAATTACAACCCCCTTATTTTGACCCCCATCCCTCCTTTCCCCGCCCCCCACCCCCCATAGAGTGTCTCTGGTTCATAGTTGTTTGTTGATTTTGATATTTTCTTTCTTATAGTTATTCTTTTTCCTGGTCCCTTATTCAAGTTTTCTAGATTCCTGCTATGAGAGAGACCATCCGGTATTTTTCTTTTTCTTTCTGGCTTATTTTGCTGAGCATGATCCCTTCCAGCTCCATCCATGTTGCTGCAAATTGCATGTGTTTATCTTTTTTGAATGCTGCAAACTCAAATACTTATAATGACTATGTTTTACCCTCCCTCTGGTTCTGGGCTGAGACCAGGTACGTGGTGACGTCACCCAGACAGGAGCTGCATGATCAAGAATGAGCAAGGGGGGCCTCCCCGGTGGCGCAGCGGTTGCGCGCTGGGTTGCGAGGCTGCCCGCGGCCTCTGCGGCGCCGGTTCGATCCCCAGTTGCTCCCCGGCCTCCGGGGGAGGGTCCCACATGGCGCGCAGACCTCTCCTGCCGCCCGCTCCCCTCAGCAGTGTACTTCGGTCCTTCTGCCTGCTCTGCTCCCCGCTCTGGCTCTGGTGAATTCTCTCACCCTCCTGTGCTTCTGACTGTACCCAGTGCTTGTATAAATAAATAAATAAATCTTTAAAAAAAAAAAAAGAATGAGCACGGGTTGTCTGGTGAGTCCAGATTGTTCAAGTCACTGAAACTGCCCAGAACTGCCCTGCAGTGCACTCAGGGTGGACACTGCACATGCTTTCAGGGTAATGCAGGGAAGTTCAGGGGTCCTGCTCTGTGATGCTTTTGAGGCTTCAAAGTTACCAAGAAACACTGGCTTAAGGATGAGCCCCGAGCACATGTTCTAGTCAATACTCTGTAACTATGACGATGTCAGGGTTTCAATGTGGAATCCAACCAGAAATCTGGACTTGCGCCGGTGATTTAGAACACGCAGGTGTGGCCGACGCCACGTGAATGGCTCCGTGCATCTCTGAGTTTGCATCCAGCTTTTGAAACCATTATGAGAAAGCACTTTCTTTTTCCTCTTTAACATTTCAGATTTTTAACACTCACCCACAAACAGCCAGGATTAGCTAGATCTCAGGGAAAAAGTCAGCATTCCTTAAGGATTGGTATTTATTTGACACGATGTACAAGAATACTAGTACTTGTCACTTTAGCTACGAATCCAGCACCGACTGACTCGCATGAATTTGCAGCTCCTCTGCTTGTGGGTGTGTGTTTGTGCGTCTCGCCAGCTGCTTGGCTCATCCCTATGCATCGCCGGGTCTGACAGCTGAAATCGAAGTGGGTTTTTGTTGTCAGTGTTTGTTTTTGGCTTCTTTTAAACCTGTGAGTTTGGACTATTTAATTCATTTTAGTTGTATTGAGAAGGAATTTTGTTGGGGGTTTGGAAGTAATGACCGAGTATCGTCTTTATCTTGGGGCTCCAGCTCCTGATGCTATTCCCAGAAAAGGGAAAATTGTTTTTCTCACGCGAGGTGCAGCTTCCATTGTGTGTGATAAAGACGCATTCGATGGTGGGACGGTTCAGGGTGGGCACTGTCTGCCGGTAGGGAGTACTCCTTCCCCAGTGGAAGGGAACAGTGACAGAATCCAAAACATTGCATGAGCCCCAAATTCAAAACTGGAACGAGACAGCAGGCCATGCTCTCTCTGACAGTTGTTCCCTCCTTGCCAGATCAGGACACATCTTGAGGACACGCTATCTGGGCAAACAACTACTGGTCCAGGATTATGCGCTTAAGCACAAACAACCCAAGAAATGGATAAGGTGAGTAGCCTAGAGACGTTTTACAGATTTTCATCTTCTCTTTCTTACCTTGGAAAACCCCAGGAACCTTTTGCTGACACAAATGAAGCAGGCAATTATAGAACACAGCCAGGAAAATCCTTTGGAATTTTGATTAGGGAAAATGGCCTAGATTCAGCATGTATTTTTTTTTTTTCTCATTTGTTTCTTGCTATGAGTTTACTAAGCTTGGATGTATCCTTGGTGCCTTCATTTAGGTCTTCTATGTCAGTAATCTGAAGAAGGCAGAGCCGATTTATAAAACAGTCTGTGTTCCAGTTAAAGAATACTTACACAGAATAAACCTCTGCCTTTCTAGCCCCCCTCCACCTCTCCACCTAGGCTCAGATGCTGAAATGTTTGATTTGCTGTCTGGCTTCCAGGCAATCTCCGATACCTCACACCTGCTTCATTTCTATTCTGTAGCTTAAGGATTAGTCTCTGGACTTGAATTTGGCCATGAGCTCCAGGAGAATCTAATTATAAGAGCCCAGATTCACTGGAATTGCCAAAGCCAGAGGCAATGGCACCTCACTGGGAAGGAAAGGGCCTCAGCAAACTATGTGTTTTTGGCAATCTCTTTTAAGCTCTTCATATAAGATGCTATATTCTATACTAGTCAGCACCCCCTCCTCTTAATATGGGGCACAGGGAGTCATGGTAACAAAGGTCTCCCTTACAGAAAAGCTAAAATCATGCAGAATGGCTAGATTCACCCCTGGGTGTCCAGAGTCTTTCATTTGTACCCACCCCTCTTGACACAAACATTTAGTGAACTAACTGGACAGATGAATTTAGCTGTCGCTGCTGTTTCTCAGAGGGGACAGGTAGAGTAAGTTTGGCCAGTTAGCTTTGCTGAGTGGAAAGCAACACAATATTTCATCCCAAGCTCAATGCATACAACTAAATAATTACAACTGAATTCTGAATGGAATTGAAGTGTTTGACTATATGATCAAAAACTAGAATCAAATGTTGGCATATACATAGTCTTGGGTCCGGGCGAGGTTTCAGAAACTACTAAGGGAAAGACAGATTTGCCCACATAAAATTCTACTTGCGTACATCAAAAACATAATACGTCAAAATTCAAGGCAAAAAACTGAGGAAAGATTTTGTGTTTGCAACACATATGAAAGACAACAGATGATGTCTTTCTTACATAAAGAGCTTTTACAAATCAATATAAAAATGACAAACATTAGGAAAGAGAAAAAGTGAGGAAAAGGCTGCCATGAAAACTTGCTGCTTTTTATGGTGACAAGAACACCATCAATAACTGGATATGCCACACGAGTGGCATCTTCTGGTTTATGTAGCAGGAAGTAAATAAAACTTGTCCTCATGGCTCTACGTGTGTTCCCTTGAGCTTGGAAACTGACAACAATGTATTTCCAGAGAGAAGGCTGACCTTGGGCAGGAGTCAGTAACATATTACAAATCCCAAGAGCTGGAGCACTGGAGCCCCACTGTTTCCTGAGGGTGCGCCGCCCTCTGCCACGTGTTCACCAGACACAGTGCTTAGCTGCTCTGGCACCCAGCGCGTGGGGCAGAACCCTCCCCCCACCCATCACCTTGGAGGTCCGGGGCTGTCTTTCAAGAAGACAGAGTCTTGCAGCATTTAGTTGATCCTCACCATGCAGCCACATGTCTCCCTAAGAACCCCACTGCCAAGGAGCCCATCTTAAGGCTAAGTTTGAGGCCAATGGCGCCACCTCCTGCTCCCACCCAGCCTGGCTAGCTGTGGCCAGCCAGATTTCTTCAGCTGCACCCTTCGCGGGAAGCTGTGCAGAGATGGCTGGAGAAGTAACAAGCACAGGACCTGCCTCAGCTTGAGCCCCAGCCCACTGGGTACCGAGTGTGCCCTAGGGCACGTCACCAAAGCTGTTTGCATCTTAGTTTACTTATCCATCAAATGGGGATGATGGTACCTTGTTATGAAGTTGCTGTGACTATTACATGAGCAACTCGGGTAGGGTTATATAGCGAGAGCACAATAACTGGTAGTCACTCATTTTAGTCACATCTTCGCTTCCCAGTTATTCACTGAAGTCTGACTGTGTGCCGGGGACTCCATCACATGAGGCAGACACTGGGGCTCAGAACATACTTCTCTCCTTGGGGCTGCCCCCATCTAAGGCAAGCTGTCCAGGGGGAGAGGACTCCGTGTGAGTTCGCTCCACCTGCCTCCCCCAGGAGGCGTGCAGCCCACCCGCTCCTCAGGCGCTCCCTCCCAGGCCTGAATGGAGTTAATAATTCAGCTGCTTATTGGCGTTTTTGAACAGGCCTCATTTTCCTTCCTATCGGCAATGATTGTCTCAAACCCTTGATTTCATGCAAATCTTCTCTCCAATTTCTCCAACCCAGGCTGTCTTAATATTTGACTCTTGGCTTGCAGTGGAAGGGACTGGAGATTTGTCAATAGGCCTTCCTGGCATAAGAAGTGTTCCTAATGAAGTAAGCAGGGAACACGCCCTGAGTGCTGTTGAATAGACTGTGATTCACCTCCTGGCTGGGCGGGGCTGTGTGTGGGAAGGCTGGTGCTGATTTGC